CCAACTAGCTCAGAAGCAACAAAGCCCACATGGAAGAAGCACGCCAGCATGTGTGACCACGAGCTGTCGAGAGGATCGGGTGTCAGGCATCAAGGAACAAGAAATCGTGTCATTGTAAAGGTGGGTGAGTGCAGAATGGAGACTCAGAATCCATCGGTAGGCAACTGAACAACCCCTTGCTGAGGGATTGTGGGGAGGAGATGAACCAATCAGGGTGCAGGGTAGCAACGATTAAACATATAACTTTCCTTTAGTTCTTAAATGCTTCCTCCCCACCACTATCATGATCCCAATTCTGCCTTGCAAATCTGGCTAGACCAGAAGATGTACATTGTACAGATAGCAACTGGAAACACAGGGAATCCAGGATAGATGACTCCTTCAGGACCAGTGGTGAGAGGGGAGAGGCCTGGAGGGTGAAGGGAATGCGGGGGTAGAAGGGGGGAACCAATTACAAGAATCTAAGTATAGCCTCCTCCCTGGGGGATGGACAGCAGAGAAGAGGGTGGAGGGAGACGTCAGACAGTGTAACCTATGACAAAAGTATAATAATTTATGAATTATGAACGGTTCATGAGGAAGGGGGAAATGAGCAACTGATATTAAGGACTAAAGTAGAAGGCAAATGTTTTTAGAATGATGAGGGCAACAAATGTACATATGTGCTTGACAAAATGGATGTGTGTATGGACTGTGATAAGAATTGTACGAGCCCCCAATAAAGTAATTAAAAAAAAGAAAGCATCCCAACCTAGTCCAGTCCAAGCCCACAAGTCCAATATTAGCCCATATGTCTGATACCAATATATAGAGTCCCCTTCAGACTCACGAAACACATGCAAAGATGCCAAATGCAGGACGATCACAAGCCAGTGGATAGAAAGTCTTTGGATCCAGTAGCATTGTAAGCATCTCAGTGCTGGCAGGGGTCTCAACGTGACTTCTCCAGTTCCCAGGGCACGGGGTTTATCAGAGTAGTGCTATGCGTCTGGTCAGTAGAGTGTCTCCAAGGGAGTGAGAAGTGTCTCCTGCCGCCAAGGAGGAAAAACTGGAATTACAGAATCCTTAGGGGAAGGCCATGCTCACACTGAGGCCTGATTGGCTATATCCTGATTGACAGCCTAGACTGCACCCCTACACTCTTAATCCTCAAATTGACACCAGATTATGTAACACTCACACCCATCACTGTAAAGGATAAAGACAGAAGAACACTTAAAATCTTTTCTTAATTGGTTTCATTATTCTAGAAATTATTTGACAAGAACAAGTCAAGCGATTTATTTTTAGGTATATCTCCTAAACCGTCTCCATCTTCTGCTCTGAGAGGACAATATAAAAGTGTTCATTGCATCATAGTTATGAAAAAAGGGAATATTTACACAAGTCATTAGCAGAGAAAAAGGTAATTTGTGGTATCTTTATACCATACATTTAAAATGGATGAAATATTTCTACATGTAGAAATCTGAAAAAACAAAATCTTAGGTGAAAAAATCAGGTAGCATAAATGTATAGTGTTAAGTTTATAAACACAGAAATCCACGTTTTTGTGCATATGAAATACACATATAGCAAATAACCTGGTTGGGAGTAAGAGCGTAAATCAAGATGAAGAAGGCTCAAGGGTGGGAAATAGCTGAGTAGGGCTATAAATGGAGCTTCCTTGGAATTCATTGCAGTGTATTCCTTGTTAAGGATTTGAAGTCAATAATGGCAAAATGCTAGCAAATGTTTTATCTGTGTGGTCGATATCTGTATGTTTGGTAACTGTATGTTTGCTAAATTACTCTCTGGACATAAGGTTGGTTTAAAATAAAGAAACAACCTAACAACAACAACAACAACAACAACAAAACCATAGCAAAACAAAAAGATACATAGTCCCTGCCCTTGAGGAAGTAAGGGGTATTTAAAAGAGTCAAGTAAATGCCTGGTTACAATATAAGAAGATGAAAAGCATTCGACTAGGCATCGAATACATATGGGAGCAGGTGGGGCTGGGAGAAGGCACATGGACATTTCCCAAAGTGGTAAAGCTTTCCACATCTTTCTCTCTCACTGAACCAAGTTCTGAAAGTACAGAGGACTAGCTAGGCCAGAAGAGGGAAGGGTATTTCCAACAGGTAACGTTTTTTTTTTTTTTTTCAAAATCCCAGAAAGGAGAAACCTCAAGGCCTGGTTTGGAAACTGCTGCTGGGTTTTCCGAGCTGGAGTAGAGGGGGCATAGCGAAAGAAATGGCAGGGCAAACTGTCCAGGGCTCTTTCGACTAGGTTAAGGAATCCCATGGCCTCTTGCCCCCTGAAGAAGGATAGAAAATTATTTAAGCAGAAGAGTCACAGGTGCATCATGAATTATAAAAGCATGGCTCTGGAGGCAAGATCAGTTCGGTTTTCTCTCTTTTTTTCTTAAAGAGGAAAACCAGGCATGAAATAATGGGATCCCTCAGCTGAGAAAATGAAGTGGTTACTGAGGGTGGTGCCTGAGGGATACCAGTCTGTTCAAACCATAGGAGGGGGGAGGGCTTAGCTATCCAGAGGGGAGGGATGAGGCTAGGAACTGAGGAAGCCCTGCCCTAGGTCACAAAGTGACAAGGGCTGCTTTGTGCTACTTAACCCCTTGGTTGCCCACCTCACGAGTATGCGCACCTTAGATACGTTTAGCTCGTTTAGTTCACGTACAGAAACGTGCAAGGGAAGCACTGGGGACACTGGAATGGGTTTTCATGTGGGGGGGTGGATGGATTGTGTGTGGTCTGAGATTCTAGAACATTGTAATCTTTTATAAAAAGCGAATGCAAATGCAGCCTAGGGAAAGATTAACTTGTGCTAAATCTCAGTGAGCAGATAGGGGTTATTCTCTGTGAATGTAGCATTTTATATCTACATGCAATAATCGAACGGCTCAAAATATGGCAAGGCTTGGAGGAGCTTGGAAGTACGAGAAAGACTGTGAGATCTATAAAGGGGTTAAGCCAGAAAGCAGCGGGGGCAGGGGATGGTGTGGTTGTCAGTCTTTGTGTGCGCACAAAGCTCGGGGAGATCTGCACCCTGCGGTCTGCGCATGGGGCGGGGAGGGGAGGAAGGGAGTGGGCTCCACGGCCCCGCCCCAGCACTTCCCCTCCCCCACAGGCGTTCCACTGGAGCCCCGCCCCTCCCCTCCCCCTCCGTTACAGTGCCTCCCGTCTCCAGGTAACGTGAGGGCAAACACAGGGGCTTCCAGGCGGCCACTGCCAGTCTCCCCCTCTGGTTTCGGACCTTTGGCCCTCGGACGCTCAGAGCTATGGCCTTACCCCTACTACCAGGCTACAGCTTCAACCGCAATGTGAGTAGCGAGGACGTTTGGGGTCAGAGTCTGGGGTTGGGGCAAGGTCGGGTGTGGACCAAACTTTATAGGCTGGTGGAACCCTTATTTCTCTACCTCTTTTCACTTCGGGCCCCAACCATGCCTGAGCGCCTTTCCTACACGCAAGCGGTGACCCTTGAGAGCAATTGAAAATAAAGATGACAAAAGACAATAGATGTCCAGTGTTTAAGGTGTGGCAGGAACTGTGTTTTAGTCACTGTATAAAGCATTTGATGCCTCCAACAGCCCTTGAATTAGGTACTATTTTAACTTTTATTGTACACTTTTGGAAACTGAGGAACAGAGTCACTGAGTAGTGACGCAGGAGGCAGCCCAGGAGCCTAGCCATGCATCATCAGTACACTGTGCGAAAGAAGTAAGTCCAGTTTTCTGTTAGTAAAGCAAAAACCTGGCACTCTCAAGGGACCTGGGGCCGATCAGCACCCAGACATGACGGACATTTTATAACTTTGAATTGGGAGGGGTTCATTTCAAAACAAGATGAAGGTACAAATCCAACAAAACCACCCCACTGAATACTCTGAGCTTTGAAGAACGTTTGCCCACAAATAGCACCTTGCTTAAACCACAGCAAAACGATTGAGACTGTTGTTGCACTGGCCACTCACTACTCTACTCCGGTGTGCCAGTTTTGTCTGCAGGAGAAGGTAAACAATAAACCAGTGGGAGGGAAATAGGGGGAGCTGCTGGGCTGTCCAAATGGTTAAGAATGATAATAGTAGCCCAAGGGAGGCCAGTTGGAACTCACTCAGAGGTGCCTTGGAAGATTAACAAAGCAAAACTCAAACTCACTGCCATCTAGCCAGCTCTGACTCATACAGACCCTATGGGTTAGAGCAGAACTGTCCCTGTGGGTTTCTGAAACTGCAATTCATTCAAACCAAAGAACCAAGCTTACTGCCATCGAGTTGATGCTGACTCATAGAGACCCTCTAGGATATGGTAAAATTGCCCTTTTGAGTTTCTGAGCCCCTAACTCTTTATGGAACTAGAAAGATCCTGTGGCATGGTCGTGGCTTTGAACTGCTCACCTTGATGTTTGCAGTCCAACTCGTAACTGCTATGTCACCAGAGTTTAGTCTGCTTCTGAAAAGTCATAATATTGAAAACCCTGTGGAGCAGCTCTTCTTTGCACTCCTGGAGTTGCCATACGTTGGAAACACGTGCATTGACTCGTAGGCAACTTCTGGTAAGCTTTCTAAGGTTAAGCAATTTCCTTTATTAATTCCAAACATATCTGTACCTAGGTTGCTGGCTCTAAAATTGTGTTGAGCTTTGTAGCCTCAGTCCACAGGACTGCCCAGTCCAAAACACGGACTTGTGCATTGCCTGCCTGATGGGTAGATGCTGGAATGCCAGCATCGTATTGCCCTTTGGTAAGATTAAGCCACCCATCTTAATAAGAATGGGCCCAGAGAAGCAGGGCATGGAAACAGAATCCTGAAGGAAAGAAGCATGCTGTGTAAAAGTAATTTTAATAAAAACTGAAGTTTGAAAGGCAAGCTCACAGCTTTTGGCACACACAGCAGTTCAGATTACTAGTGCCCACCTCTTGTACAAGTGGCACAGCTCTCATGTGCAATGATGAAGGGTGGGAAAGACAAATGGTGCTTGGATGAGATACATGAAAATCTGCTAGTCTGTACTGAGTATTAATGTTCTTTTTTTTTTAAAAAAATGTTAACTTTCATTATGAAGAACAATGTACTGAAAAGTGTACAGGGAAGGATTGCAAAATGAATGTCAGGAAATAGAATACTCCCAGTCCTCCTGAAGTGTCCCCCATGAGTAGGGTTGCCAGATTTAGCAAATAACAGTACATGTCCCAGATATTGCATGAGGTATACTAAACACTAATAATTTATTCATTGTTTATCTGAAATTCAGTTTTAACTTGTGTTTTATGTGGCCACTCTACCTATGGCCCTTCCTCTTTACGAACCTTTCTATACACTCCAAAGGTAACCACCCTTCAGGCTGCCATCACTAATTAGGATTACCTGCTTTTGAGGTTATTATAAATATAATGTCTAGTGGATATTCTTTCGTGATTGTCTTTTTCAAAAATTTTTGTTGTAGGTTAGTGTTTTCTGTTTCCTATTTATGAAATCATTCTTCACACTAAGGCCATGCAGAATTTCCCATGTGTTGTTTCTAATCTTTCATATTTAGATCTGCAGTCTATCTAGAATAAATGTTCTTGTGTGTATGAAAGAGAGGAAGGGATCATGTTGCATTTTTCAAACATATGGACATTTAGTTGACTTAGAGTTGATTTTAGAAAAGGCCACCCTTTCTCTGCTTCTCTGGAGTCACCTTTGTCGTAAATCCAATGTCCATATATGCATGTATCTATTTTTAGATCTACGAGTGTATTAAAAACGAGAAATGTTTACTTTATACCCAAGGCCAGTAGGACTCTGTGTGTGTATGTGTGTGTATAAGACACACTAGAGAAGAAGTATATGTATTTTTGATACATTGGATTGTCATTCAATAAATCAATATTTATTTACTGAGTATCCTAGTATGTGCTAAGTCAGGGGCAGCATTTAAAACACTGTTGCACAGCCATGGTACTGGGTGTGCTATGTGGAACAAAACTCAAAATTATTGAAAGCATTTGACCAGGCTTACTGGTCAAATAGAAACTAGTGGAACCCCTCCAAACTATTGCCTTCAGTCGCTCTTCAGGTCTGGAGCTGAACTCACTCCCATGTCTCAATTTTTCAGCCAAGCCATATACAGTCTGTTAGGGGAACTCAAGAGAGGTACACACATCCTAGAATAATCAACCATTTTTGAGATCAAAAGGGCAGCATTTGCATAAGCACAGTGTTCTGAAGGGTTAGGAAGGAAGACAGAATGGAAAGAGGAAGCAGGGGAAAAGTGGGATAAGAGATATTACACTGTGGGGATTGCAATAAATGACATCAACAAAATGTATTCATTGTTGAATGGAGAACTGATCAGCTCTATAAATCTTCACCACTTCATGATAAAAAGAAAAATAATGAACTTGTATGTAGGTAAAATAATGGATGCACTCTGGCAGAGAATGGATGGAAAATCAGTAAAGCTATGTTGTGTGTGATGGTTTTTTTTAATGTGCTCCACCTCAGACCCCATGCCTATTATGTACCTTGCTTGCTGACTTTGACTGTCATCAGTGGAAAATACTAGGCCTCCTATAAATAGCATAATGACTTGGCTGTTTGGGTTTAAGATTATAATGCACAAACTTTACTGTTTTTCCTTAAAAAATAGGACGGAACTATTTTCATCCCTTACTTTGCTGATGGTATTCAGTCATGAGCACTAGGTTACTTTCTGTACATACATAGATAGTCAGAACCTATACATCAATCTCTGAAGGGCTATAAATATTGTGCTCTCTGAGAGCCCTAGTGGTACAGGGGTTAAGTACTCAGCTGCAAACTGAAAGGTCAGCAGTTAAAACCCACCAGCTATTCCATGGGAGAAAG